GTTTCCAACTGTATCCCCCGAAAGACTTCCCGAATTGGAGGCAAGAATTAATGACGTGCGACAGCGACTTGCCGAAAATTGAGATGGCAATGCTGCGTTGGAGCAACAGATCGCCGCCGCTGACGCACGCATGGCGGCGCAAGATCGACAAACTGAAAGCCTTAGAAGAGAAACTCGCCGCGCACATCCGTGAGAGAAAAGCAGCGTCTGGGGTCGTTTCCCTAGAAAGAGAAGCCTTGTTTGAACGTAGCGATGAGCTTTCTCGTGGAACTGATGACCTTCCATCCCGCATCGACACTCTCGAACAATCTACGCTTGCCCATGGCACAGCGGCCTACGAACGCGCCCTCCGAATCTGCGACTCCATCAAGCGCGTTGTAGAGAGCACGAACAAAGCAGCCGACTTCGTCGCAGCTTGCGATGTCGCGTCGCCATCTGCAGAGATCCTGCAAGAGCTTCGCGAGAAAGCACTTGCAAGCAAAGAGGGACCCGACGCGCACCTCGCGAGCCTGAAAGCCGCCATTGCGGCAGCGCGCGAGAAGCAAATTTCTGCTGCGAAAGCGTTCGCGCAGAACGTGAAGGCATGGCAGGTAGTGCGAGCAACAAAAGTGGAGGAGATGCCAGACGAGTCGCAACAGCTAGACTTTGAGCGTTCGAAACCATTGCATGCAACGCGGATGGCACGTCAGCTGAAAACGCCTGATGAGCTGAGGCAGGCGGTGTTGGATTTCAATGCGCTTGTGCCGGGTGTGCTAAAGTTGGGTGTTAAGCAAGAGAGCAGTGGCGAGAGGGAGCTCGAGGAGACTGGGCTTGTCAACGACGTAAAACGTCCAAGAACAGACGACAGTCCATAAATCATATCGTCAACGCTCCCGGAACCACGATGTCTTGAGCGCCACGTACTTCCCGATGCTTCATCACTCATGTCATCGGTCAGCTAAGCAGCCATATTTCAGAGTTTCGCCTTCACACTCCCCTCAAAACTTTCGATCAATCCTTCCTCTTCAATCAACACCCCAAATCCATCAACACCCTCACTCACTACCTCAACCTCCTGACAGTCCTCCACCCCGACTCCATTAGCAAACTGCACGACCACGAATTCCACCTCCCTCTGTCCGAGCACCACCATAGGCGCATGCCACGTTCCCGGCCCATAAGTCACAGCCTGATCCCCTCTGGCAACGAAAGCACGCAAGCTCGCCAGGTCCGGAAGTCCGGGACCCGTGGGCTTGAGTGAAGGCGAGAGATCGACTGTGATAGGGGGTGTGGTAGATGGAGCGTAGTCGTTCGTAAATGGATTCGGTCTCGCACCCAGTAGACGTTCTTTGAGACTGCGTTTCCGTCGAGGAGCTGGGGCAGGGTATGGAGGCGAAAGTCCGGCTGCTCCGCGAGAGCGAGGTGAGAGTGGAAGGGTGGGCGCGACAATGACGAGGTAGGCCGTACTCTTACTAGTCTCGTCCAGACCCATGGGGACGAAGGTCTGGGGTGTGAAGGGGTGGCGTTCTAGGATCTCGACTGGGAAGACTGATTGAGCAGATGAGAGCTCTCTGAGCTTGCGGGGCTTGCAGATGAACATGTTCACCACTGGACGAGCGGGCTTCTGGGATGAGGCGAGGTGGTAGTAATTGAGCATCTGTGTGACATCGAGGACTTTGGTGGCAGAGCCTTGATTCGCTTCGACGACGGCGTGAGGTGTAGTGTCATTGTGGGTGCTGGGATTCTCGATTACTTGTCCGAAGTCCTGAAATGCTTTGCCTGTGAGTGGAGCGACGGGGATGCGTCTAGACGGCGCCGTGATCTGGAGAGGCATTGCCGCTGATTAAGACCTTGTTGTTCCAGCTAGATTCGCTCCTAAAGATTGGACATCAGCGCTCTTGAACTCCCGCTTTGCTTTCTCACGCTTCGATGCATTGAAGTCGATGATTGGACTGACACGTGAATGTGGGGACCTTGATCTGTAAGGCTGAGCCGGAAGCGGTCGCTGCTACTTCCGACGCCACGTATTGCGGGGTAAACTCGACGCGTCTCTCCACCTCCATCGACGCGTTTCCTGAGTCGAAATCCAATATCTGTACTGCGTATTTGACCAGTCAGACATGGCATTCCCAAGATTTGCGCTCTCATCAGAGCCCGCGGCACCGTCAACGCCACCTACAAGCGACGATGCCGTCTTCTCCGACGCCTCCCATCACGAGACAAGTCTGCCCTCCTCTCCACCTGGCTTTCCCTGGGAGCAGCAGACGCGACCATCACCACTCAAGTCACCGCCGAGATCAATGAATGCCTTCAGCGTACTTGGCAAGCGGAAGGCACTTGATATCATCACCCAGAATGCACGACCTGCGAAGCGACCTGCACCTTTGCGAGTGAACCCACAACGACATACCCTCACGCAGATGCAGATCAGTCTCGGCCAGGAAACGCAGAAGCGCTGCAAGGACTGCGGTATGGAGTACATTGCCTCATCAGCTGAAGACAGACAGCTACACGACAAGTACCACAAGCAGCATGCAGAGGGATGTGATGTAGGGAAGGACTTCATTGCCAAGGCAAGGCAGGGCAGCATGTTCAGCAGCGCGATCGCAAGAGACACGGTTATAGCAGTAGACTCACGCGACACTGCGTGGCGGAGGAAGCGAGTAAGGGTGGCATTGGATGTGGTGCAGAGAGAGCTGGGAGCAGTGGAGATCCCGGATGAGAAGCTGTGGGAGGCGGGAAGGCATATTGCATATCTATACATACGAGGGACGAAGTGCGTTGGCTTTCTGTTGGCTGAACGCATTACCGAGGCGCGAGAAGTCCTTGCACCAGCACGCCCACCGCCGAGCAGCCGGAGAACTCCAGTGATCGAGGAGAAGCGGCCGCTATCGTCACTTGCGGCTTTGAAAGCACGACGCTCTGCTTCCCAGCCATCCGACGAAGCCTCACCTGATCCACAGGGTCCTCTCGAGTTTTCCATCGCCGCAAGACCGGCCAGCCTGGGGATCTCGCGAATCTGGACATCGCCGACACACCGTGGTCAGGGCATCGCTGGCACATTGCTTGACAGAGCGCTGCTGCATCATGACAGCCGACCAGGGCCATCTAGATTGGGATCAGGCGATGACACGGCTCGATCAGCGATCACAAACGGTTTGTCTCCGCTTGAGCAGCCGATGCCAGTCGTGAGCAAGTCAGACGTCGCATTCAGCCAGCCGACGGAGATGGGCGCGAGGCTTGCCAGGAAGTGGTGCGGGAAAGCGTATGGCTGGCTGGTGTATGCCGATTGAACGTCTTGCAAATGCACACGAGAGTCGCCTCGCCACGTGGGGATGTCGCGAGTGCATACAGCTGTGTAGTATGCTCAGTGTCGGGTATCATGTAGCTCAAGTCACAGCTCAAGTCGCTGTCAGGCTGTTTGCAATCTGTCGCAACGCTTCGGCCGTGCTTGTCTTCCCGCTCTGTGCCAGACTGTCTGCCAATTCCTCGAGCGCCTTCAGACCTCCAGCAGGCCCATTGATCATGAGTCGCGCATAACGCGCGAGACTCGCCTCCAGCACCTGTCGGACTGCCTCGTCGAGCTCGCCGTCGTGCTGCAAGCAAGTTGCGAGGTACTGCACAGCTCTGCTACCAAACTTGGCGTGCTCCGCGGCCGGCAGTTGCATCGTGCCACGCTTCAGAAGTCCCAGACTTGCGCTCAATGCTGCGGGGAACTCTGCTGAAGTGACCTCGATGCTAAATGTGTGCAGTGTCGCCTCGCAGACCACAAGCTCCACAGAATGTACTCCAGCGCTGTGCATGCGACCGTAGATATGTTCCAACACCGTCTTCGCGACAGGGACGCCCTCGTACAGCGCAACCAGCTCAAAGAATTCCGCCGCGAATCCAACATCGTCCCGAAACTGCTTCATGCCGGCATCAAATATCGCCATGGGTATCGCTCCAGTATAAGCCGGCGCGTCCTTCAGCCTGACAAGCGCATTGACATCCACCTCCTCTACACCCTTCATCTCATCGCCTTGCATGTCCTCCGCCGAGATCTCCGGCAGCGCGATGACGCCCTCGCTCTCTTGATCCTCCTCTGCCTTCTCTTCCCTACCCTCCAATCCCAAGATCCTCCGCCTCGCAGCCAACTTCCCAAGATACCCCATCTCCAACCTCGCATACTCAATCCACAGCCTCCTCTCCTCGGGACAAAACCTCAGCCCCCTCTGCAAATAACTCCGCGCATTGCCCATATCGCCCTGCACCTCAGCGTAGTACTTCGCAGCCCTGACCCACATCCCCCAATCTCTCGGCCGCAGTCTCAGCACAGCCGTGAAAACCTTCGCTAACTTCTTGTTCGCCCTCGCCTGCGTGCAGAAAGTAATATACTCATTCCACAGTCCCTTCTCCCCAGGAAACTTCTTCACCCCTCGTTCAAAGATTAAGAACACAGTCCTCTGCCCGCTCCACTGCTGCTCGCCTACCCGTCCCTTCACGCCAAGCCGTTTACACCGTTTCTTTCGCAGCGCATCGAGATTCATTTCATATGTCGCATAGCGGATGTAGTCCCGCGGCGTCGAGCCGTTGGAATTTAGCACATGTTCGAAATCGCTTCGTTTGCGAGCGATGGCTGTGATTTCTGCGGGGCTGAAGAGGGCGAGGCGGGAGAAGAGTTGGAGTTCGGGGACGGAGCGCTCGAGGTAGTAGCGTGCGCGGTCGCTGGCGGCGGACATGATTGGGAGAGTCCTTGCTAGGGTGTGTGTGGAAGATGAAGATGTGTTGGTGGAATTTGCATGTGAAGTTCGAAAGTGGACTTTGAGAGAGGCACGTGCGCTTTACATCATGGCAGGAACCATTGAACAGCCGAGAATGGTAGAAGCACCAATTATCGGATGAGTGAGGAAGGTGAATCTCACATGCAACTTCACTTCCAGTCCAGGCGCGACTGTCTCTGTCGCTTCACTGTTGAGAGGCCGATAATGATGATGTAGTATATAGTTACTGTAAGGGCAAATAATATTCATACCACACCTGTTTCGGTAGCTCAGTGGTAGAGCGTGGGATTGCAGCACCTTGCAGCAATCATCCTAAGGTCAGGCGTTCGACCCGCCTTCGGAACTTTTGTCCTTTTGCTGTACTTGATAGCGTCCCTTGCGTCGACGAGGGACTCTACACTAGTGCAACATGCGCTCTAATGCAATATGCGCTGACGAACACGAAGCGGTAGCTATACTCTGATCTGAATTTACGTAGCCACGCGCTGCACACTAACGCTAAGCCCGAACACTACCTGCACAACCGAGAGTCCTTGGACGTGTTCTGCGTGCGCTCTGACATGTGGATGTCCACCTCATGCATGTGTCTGAGTGAGATGCGGCACGGCTTGACTGGGCCAGCACATGAAGCTTGTGGGCACTGCCTCACGCTCAGGGTCGTAGCTAGACGGAGTCACGCTTCGGGGCTGCTGGCTGGCGTCCGTGAATATGTGCGAATTAATGATCCCTGGACGGAGGCGCTTGTTTAAGTCAGCATTCGATCTTGATGGACCTTAACGCCACGACGAATCGTACTTTCATCGTCATGTCGGCAGGCTGATCTACTTCATACGAGCGTGATGCGTTCAAGCTCCACGCCACGCGCTCGCAGAGCGTCTGGTTCTAGTCTCGGATCGCCGTTGATCTCTTCTCTCGTCTCCGTATTGAGGTACCAGGATACGTTGTATGGATCAGCAGACGTAAGAGGCCGGTCCAGCCTCACCCATGGAAGTGGGAGTGGAGGTAGCCGTGGGTCCTCGTCGGTGACGAAACCTGTCGGTAGGTTATGATACTGCATCCCGGAGCGCGAACCGTTCGTCTTCTCGCATATAAAAGTCCAGTCTTTGGACAAGTCTCCAAGCAGCGCGTCTGCGTCCATTAATCCAGCAACGTAGCAAGGACCGACGACTTCATAAGATGCAGATGGTAAATCATTGGCTCGGATGATGACTGGGGTCGGGCAGCCAAGTACGACGCACAGAATGTCACAGACCTTTGGGCTCCCGTCCATCAATCCGACAAGGCCACATGCTGTTCGAAACATCCTCATTCCCTCTATGGGAAAAACTCGGAACGGCCGTCGAAAGGGGGTCACACTAGCTTTCGTGAGGTCCGGCGACATAGCGACTTCAGGATCGAGGGCGACAAGTTCGTTCATCAGCTCCCTAGCGTCCGCAAGTGTGCTGTATCCATGACCGGGCAAACGATCTTGCAGGACACCGAAGGCCATGGTCTTGACGAACAAGTCCAGATCAAAACCTGTCCCTGACTGCAATGCAGCATCTGCGCATGCATTGTGCCACTGCCGCAGCGTCGCGGGCGCTTTCGCAAAGTCCCGGGTCGCGGTGTCGCCGACAATGCCGACGACACCGCAGCGCACCGCGTGGACCACCATGGTGCACAAGGGCCATTCGGAGAATTCCGCTCTTGATCTCGACATACCTGCAGCTTGCTGGACATATGTCATGTACGTGAAGTTGGTATCAGACCAGTCAACAACCCAACTAGGTAGGCCATGTCGCCTGTTCGCGGGCCGACAATGCATCAGGACGTCAGCGCGATTCGTACAGCGTGTAATTGCAACGCTCGCGTCGTGATAGACTTGTTCCACAGAGACCTCGTAATCTGGCTTGATCATATCTCTGACGCTTAGCGGTGCAATACCCAGCGTGCCGTATACCTTGTCCCTCAGATCGTTGCAGTCTTGGAAGTTGATTCTAGCCAGCTCGCGGATGAAAGGGCAGTGACGTAGGGGTGTTATATTTGTATTGACGTAGGATGTCCGCATTTTCCAATCGTCTGGCATTGAGTCCCTCTCCTCCAGAGCGCCTGTAGCGACCACAAAGTCCGGCACGAGTATTTCATCAGATCCACATAACATGACACTGCGGGCATTTGCAAGCTTGACTTCCTGGACGACCCATAGCCGGTCGAACCATGGTCGGAGCAATAACGCTGCGATAGAATCTACCGTGCGTTCGTCGTACGGCAGCGGGACACGAGGGTGATACCATGTAGGCTCAACACAGTCCGGTGCGGGAAACGAACGATAGTCGGGCACGGCAACTTCGACTTGTGCGGCCAGATAACGAAGAGTGGAGATGGCATGTGCGCTATCGTCTGCTGCCACTCCAAGCCAGATGATGACCTGATCGGCGAGCTGGAAAATGTGGTGCATATGCTGAACCTGCTGTCCACGCTCAGCAGAATTACTCTGGTCTATGCATAGCGCATCAATCCATAGGTCTCGTGGTACGCCAGCCCGTCTCACATGTCGTAGAGCGATGGCCAGATTCTCGCGGATCGATAATGTGTTGATCCCAGCACCCGTCTCGACGGTAACACACTCTTCATCTGGATCCTCACCCCAAGTGTAGGAAAGAGCTTCGTACTTGGTCCCCACATTTCGGACGTGCGATGTATACATTTCCTCTCCGGTGACCGGATGCTGCCATTGTCGTTCGAGGCTGCCACCGAGAAATAGTACCCGACCGCCGAGGGTCTCATTCGCGGACCAGCCGTCGATCAGTCCGTCACGCACGTGATCGATAGTCGCACGCACAGTCTCGACATCTGTGGGTCTCGGTCGCTGACGGTGATGAATGTTGACGTGGATCTCATCATCGAAAGCCCCAGGCAGTAGCGTGACCAGCCTGATCTCATCCGGGGCTACTGGGGAGTACTGATACGCAGGCCAGGACTCAAGTTCGGGCTGACGATCAGCCTCTGTAGCCATGCTTGCTCAAATCATGCTGCCCCTGATTTGGCGCTGGCGCTTCGCTAATGGTGTCGATCAAGGTTCCAGTGCGGTAACATTGCTACGACTAATGCCAGCTGTCTATCGAGTCACAAAGTGGAAGAGAAGCAATAGAGGTGCCTATGTAGCTAGTGCGGGTACACCATTCTACCTGCATGTGTGCACTCCGCTGCAGTGCCCGGAGGGGCCGTGTATGCTGGTCTCATTGGGCGTCCGCGACAACGGGATGGGACGGTCATGGTCCACAGTCGCCAACTGGCAGCTCCTACAGGTAATGTAGATCAATGTTGACGATATTGATGAGCCGGGAAGTAACAATGGAGGCACTCGGACTGAGTTCAGGGTGAGAGACAGGGTTGGATTTGCCGCCCGCCCCCACGTGGCACCCCACATCCCAGCTCCTCTGCTTACTCCATACCCAGACAGTTGAGTTCAGTCAGCTTGACTCCATACCGGTCCACGAGCGTTGCCAGCGCAGTATCGATAGCAGAGTCCATTCCTACTCCCACGCTCGTTAGCTCCTCCAGCGCCTATTCCCATAGCTTCTCCCAACAACACCACATCTCAAGCCCAGCATGGCTGCTGCTCAACCCCAAGCCTCAGTCCAACCGTGCCGCTACAAGACCGGCAAGACCCTCGGCGCCGGCTCTTACAGCGTCGTGAAAGAATGCGTGCACATCGACACCGGCCGATACTACGCCGCCAAAGTGATAAACAAGCGCCTAATGTCCGGTCGGGAACACATGGTGCGGAACGAAATCGCAGTCCTGAAGCGCGTCTCAATGGGGCACCAGAACATCCTCACACTGGTGGACTACTTTGAGACGATGAATAACCTGTATCTCGTCACGGATCTGGCGCTGGGGGGCGAGCTGTTTGATCGGATTTGTAGAAAGGGAAGTTATTTCGAGAGTGACGCTGCGGACCTCATTCGCGCGACGCTGAGCGCGGTCGCATATTTGCATGATCATGGGATTGTGCACCGCGACCTCAAACCTGAGAACCTCCTCTTCCGCACGCCCGAAGACAACGCCGATCTGCTGATCGCAGACTTTGGCCTGAGTAGAATCATGGAGCCGAACCAATTCCACGTCCTCACCACAACCTGCGGCACACCCGGCTACATGGCCCCCGAAATCTTCAAGAAGAGTGGCCACGGCAAGCCCGTAGACGTCTGGGCCATAGGCGTGATAACTTACTTCCTGCTTTGCGGTTACACGCCGTTTGACAGGGATAGTAATCTCGAAGAAATGCAGGCGATCCTCGTGGCGGATTATTCCTTCACCCCGTTGGAGTACTGGCGCGGCGTCAGCATCCAAGCGCGACAATTCATCAAGAGATGTTTGACAATCGACCCGACGAAACGGATGACTTCGCATGAGGCGCTGAGTCATGCCTGGATAGCCGGGCCCAGCGAAGACCGCGGCGGCGAAGATCTGTTGCCAGTAGTGAAGAAGAACTTCAACGCGCGTAGAACGCTGCATAAAGCCATCGACACGGTGCGGGCTATCAACCAGCTGCGAGCAGGCGGGCTTGGCATGATGGACGGCGCGCAGAGCACGAATCCGGAGCGGTTCTCAGGAAGGGAAGGTGAGGACGGGGATGGAGATGTGGGGATGCAGGACGCGCCGGGGGTCGCGGATCCGAGGGGACATGGGAGGGGGCAGACGGAGGAGCAGATCCGGGAGCAGCAGAGAAGGATTGAGGAGACTACTAGGGGGTTGTGGGATGGGCGGCAGCAGGGGCAGGGCCAGGCTGCGTGAGGGCGTGCCATGTGCGATTTTCGTTGTGTGATACCCTCGTGCGGAGGCTTCATTGGATGACATGAGCCACGAGTAGCGACTGTTTGCAGCGAGCGTGGGATTTTTTGGGAGGTATATACGTGAACAGACTTCATGATCAGCTCTTTTTGCAGCCAGTTGTGTGACTAGCATCCACATGCTGCGTATACTCTACAGCTCTCGTCGTCCTCATCCCAGCATGCATACTCTGGCTGCCACGCAGTCGGATGCGCATTGAAGCCTCAGGCTAGCAGGACTCTCTGCCAAGCAAAGCCTTAAGCCGTGAATCTTGCTGTAAGAGCCCTCGCCAGCCACATGGGGACGCGATACGCCTCATGACACTGGCCCTCCGCTTCACAGCTCGTATGAGCGCCGAATGTAGCTCTGCAAAGTGTCGCAAATTCAACACATGTCTATCGTCTCGGCATCCCTCTACCTCTGCCCCTGATCGCTCGTTGCGCCGCACCAGCCGGCAACCCCCTCTGTGGTCCCTGAGGCGCCTGTGACTCCTGATTCCGGATCGTCTCATCCACTGACAGGATCAAACA